AAAAAGCTAAAACAAGCAAAACAGTAGCTAAAAGCTAATAATAACAAAACTGTATTTTCATGCTAATGGTTCTGGGCTGGACTCAGATCTCTGAGGAGGTCAGGGTCCAGTGGATCCAGACTCATCAGMCCAGAATGTGTTTATCTGTGTGAATCAGTTTCCTGTTCCTGGAAAAGGAATGAAGACGTCCACAAGTTTCAGCTAAACACCGACGAATCTTCAGATTCTGACTCTGTAGTTCAGACCACGACTGCAGGTCTGCAGGTCAGCAGGTCTACAGGTCTGCTGCAGGTCAGCAGTCCTACAGGTCTACTGCAGGTCTACAGGTCAACAGGTCTTCAGGTCTTCAGGCGTCCATGAGTGACAGATATCCATCACGAGCTTTGTGACTCATAAAATCTTCCACTCTATCTTTTCCTCATGTCTTCTGGAATTTTCTGCTCAGCCAGTTTAGTTTTAAATTCTAAAAAAGTCCCAGAGCTGCATTTTTCCCACTTCCTGTTTCTGTCACAACAAAAGCCTGAGGAGCCTGAGCAAACACAGCAGTGGTTACATGGTGTGGTAGTAGCTGAGAGTCATCTCCAGCCTATAATATGAGCTCTAACACATTATACAACATCAAACTTTGACTTTAAAGGCAGCGGGAGGCGCCTTTTTTCAAAATAAGAGCCTGAAATCTGCGCTCCTCTGTGACCTCACAGGTCAAAGGTCACGGCCTCCTCACACCTTCACACATTCCTGCTTTCTGAAAGACTTTTATCCCAGAGGAACGAGGGGAATGTTTGAAGGAAGCTTCCAGTTTTTAAAATTCYCTCCCACCAATCGACTGCAGGCGTGGGCGGCCTGGCAGCTCCTGATTGGTGGGCGCGTGCTCAGACTGAAGGGACGGGCTGCGGTTAACGAGGGACGCTGAAGTGAAGTGGGTCAGTGGAAGTGTGTGTGTGTGTGTGGGGGGGGGGGTTAATGTAGGTCAGACGAGAGGAAAATAGAGACATTCATGTCAAACAGAACGTGACAAAGCTCTTACTGTGACTCAGTGTTTCCCCTCAGAGCTCAGAGCCTGTCTCTGTTAGCAAAATATCTCACAAACCCCTCTACCTGCAGGTAATAATCTTCAGATGAACACCTACATCTCATTAACTTTTAGAGTAGGTAAACAGAAAGCTAAGTCTCAGACAGTTTCACAGATATGAAGCTGTGGTAGTAGCTGAGAGTGGTCCTCGGCCAACAGATCCCGCACGACTCGCTGTAGAGGTTTGATCAAAACCCGGAGGTCCCGTTAACCAGCGGTGGGCTCAGCTAACTAAAAAGTTAGCTTCACTAACTACCAATCACTAAACAAGATTCTTAGCTCTGCTAACGCTAAATGCTAAGCAGCTAAAACATTAGCAGAAGCTAACGCTAACCTCTAAGACGACACCTCCTTCCTGTTAAAGACTGGTGGGACTGAAACCTTGAAGGTGGGTGGGATCATCTGTGGCAGATCGGCCAATCAAAACCAGAATCACAGCTYTGTCTAACTTGATTCTTCCAGAATAAAAGCATTTAAGTTTGTATTTTTATAAAAACAGTTTGAAGTTAGTCAAACGACAAACAGCAAATGCTTACTCTACCATATTTTATACATAGTTATTGTTTTTGTCAGTTAAATTTTGTTAAATTATATTTTATTTCTTTTTGACACTCTTTGAAGTTTAGTGGCTAAAGATGCTACATGCTAACACAAACTGTGCCTGACACATCCACCAATGTTCGTGAGAGGGGGTAGTTTTCATTGAAATCATGTAAACGACAAAAATAAAAGTTTTACTCTTGTGAATTTTTTAGTGGACTTGAAATTAGCAGAAGCTAAAACAGTTTTTAAAGTTGGCAAAAAATGCTAATGTTCTAAATGAGGAACTGGTTCTGCTATCAGTGGATTAGCAGAACTGTAACCATCACGGACATTAACTCACCTGATTAAATAAAGGTTAAATTTAAGGGAAATTAATTTTTCAGTCATTAATTTCGGGCAGAAAAAGCTCCGAGCGACAAACATCTCTTTAAGTAATTCTGATTCTTTTTAATTATTTTAATTATTGAACTTGTCTCATTTAGTCTCTCAGCTGCTCGTTGACAGAACTCTGAACTGTTTCTCTGAAAATGATTTTATGTTAAAATAACGAAATGATTTTCAAGCTGTTTGTGTTTAAAGAAATAAAAACTAATAAAGGAAAAAAAAAACAAAATCTTTAGTTGGACTCTGCAGCTGGAGCTGCAGCGCTCCTCTTCCTCCTCCTCCTCCTCCTCCTCCTCCTCCTCCTCCTCCTCCTCCTCCTGCAGCCCCTCTGCTGCAATGCAGATGTTCTGTTGGACCAAACTGCTGAGAGGGTCTTTTTATTGTGGATTAAAGGGATATTTCATGTATTTTCACATGAGGTTCTGTGTAAAGGATAGAAAGAAAAACGAGTTTCGGGCGACAAGCATTTCTTTATGCTCGAGTTAAAGAACCCTAACCTGCTAAAAACGGCTCAGCTTCTGTATTTTAGTGTTTAAAGTTAGTTTTTTTGTGATTATGGTAAATATTGATCCAGAAGTTTTTGTTTACAGTTTATTTATGAGGAATAGAAACATCTTTGCTGATCTGTCAGTTCAGTTTTTATATTTTTTTTTTCTTATTTGACTAATTTTGTCGTCTGGTTCTGCTTGTGCAGGTGTGTGGTGGTCCTGCTGAACCCCCGTAAGAACAAACAGCATCACATCTTCAACAGCTCCAGGTAAATCTCAGACCTTGGACCGTTCGTCACGTTCAGACGGTTCTGTGAGAAGCTGAATCCTGTTCTGTGTTCTCAGGAAGGCCATCACCACCGTGGCCTTTTCTCCAGATGGGAAATACGTCGTGACAGGAGAGGTCAGCGTCTGTCTCCGTCTGAACGGACGGAACCAGAAACTTTAGTCTTTTCTGCTCAAACCTGCTGAGGAGCTGAAACTGAACAGTTTGTTAAAACAGATGAGCAGAGATAAAACACACAAATGACCAGAATATTACAGGGTTCCTGCAGATCCTTAGAGTCTTAAAAAGCATTGAATTAATCCAAAAATAAGGCCTTAAATAGCCTTAAAATGGATTAAATCAAACTTACAGTGGTCTTCAATATGTTAACACTTTGTAAGATTGTAATTTGTCTTTAAATATTAAAATAATTGGTAACTTAAAAAAAATAATTTGCAGAATGCCTCTTACAGCTAGGTTTTTTGTAAAAAAACAAACATGTTAATATTGTTGTGAACTGTTTTTTCCCCTGTTCATGTTTATTGTGAAAATGATCTTAAGTTTCATTTCAAGGGGCATTAAAGAGTCTTAAATTTAGCTTGTCTAAAGCTGTAGGAACCCTGACTGTAGCAAAAATATAAAACTAGCAGGACAGTAGCTTGAAGCTAACACAATCACATATGCAGCAAACAGTAGCTAAACGCAAAAAACAACAAAACAGCAGCTAATATCTAAAACCAAACAGTAGCTACATTTGCTGAAAGCTAAAACACTCAAAATGGTAGCTAAAAACAAAGATTACCAGAACAGTAGCAAAAATATAAAACTAGCAGAACAGTAGCTTGAAGCTAACCCGAGCACGTGTGCAGCAAACAGTAGCAAAAAACAACAAAACAGTAGCTAAAGATAAAAACTAACAAAACATTTGCGAAATCCAAAACTCAAACCAGTAGCTAAAGACTTAGATTAACTAAGTAGCAGCACAGTAGCAGTACAGAAGCTAAAAGCTAAGATTAACAGAACAGTAGCTAAAGCTAAAATTAACAAAACAGCTACAAGATAAAATTAAAAGATTAGTTGCAAAAACCTGAACCAACAAAACAGGAGTCAAAAAAAGCAAATATTAACTGAGTAGCAAAAATCATAAACAGAGAACCTACAACAAGTAGTGAGCAGTAGCTAAATGCAAAAAACAAAAAAGTAGCTTAAATCTAATTCTGAACAGTAGCTAAAATTTCAAATTAATTTAACTTTCTGAAAGCTAAAACACACAAAATGGTAGCTAAAAACTAAAATTAGCAAAAACTGTCTCAAAAAAAACAAACAACAACAACAGCAGAGTGGCTGAAAGCTAAAATCAGCACAACAGTAGCAACAAGGTAAAATTAGCAGATTAGTTGCATTTAGCTAGGACTGTACCAGAAAGCTAAAACAATAGCTAAAAGCTAAAATTAACAAAATAGTGTCTTTAAGGTAAAACCAGTAAATTTGTAGCTTTACAAAAGCTGAAAGCTAATATTAGCCAAGCAGTGGCTAAATGATAAAACAAGCATAAGGACAAAAATAGGATTATATGTGGATGTAATCAGAACAAAGTTTTGAAGGAGTCTTTTTATGGAGACACTTTTGTAAATAAAGTGAAATCTTTATATTTAAACCTTCTAACACTATTTGACCCATATTTGCATAAAAGAAACAAATATTTTGATTCCATCAACTTCACTGAACTATAAACAGGACAAMAGCCGTGTGAATGCTGACTCAGCAGCTCCTGTGTCCTCCTCAGAGTGGGCACATGCCAGCGGTGCGGGTCTGGGACGTGTCGGAGCGTCTCCAGGTGTCCGACCTGCAGGAGCATAAATATGGCGTCTCCTGCGTGGCGTTTTCTCCCAACGGGAAATACATCGTCAGCGTGGGCTACCAGCACGACATGATGGTAAACGTGTGGAACTGGAAGGTACGACGAATTCAGGAGCGTCTTCAGGTTTTATGAGCCGTTAAATCCACCTCAGTAAATATTTATTTACCCATAAACATGTTGTTGTTTGTGGTCAGAAAAACGTGGTGGTGGCAGCCAATAAGGTGTCCAGTAAAGTGACCGCCGTCTCCTTCTCAGACGACAGCTCCTACTTTGTGACCGCCGGGAACCGACACGTTAAGTTCTGGTACCTGGACCACACCAAGACCTCCAAGGTTGTGGCAACGAGTCAGTCGGCTGTTTGTGGGCGGGAGCTGAAGGGTTTTTGATGTTTGTTTTTTGTTTTTGTTTTACTCTCAGGTGAATGCCACGGTTCCCCTGCTGGGGCGTTCAGGGCTGCTCGGGGAACTCAGAAACAACTTCTTCAGCGACGTGGCGTGTGGGCGGGGCCGGCAGTCCGCCTCCACCTTCTGCATCACCTCGTCAGGTCTGCTGTGTGAGTTTAACGACCGCCGGCTCCTGGACAAGTGGGTGGAGCTACGGGTGAGTCCRAACTCAGCGTCTCAGGTGTGACTTCCTGTTGTTAGCAGCTTCCCCGCCATGTGTTTATGAACTTCCTCTGCTTGTTCCTCTGCTTCCTGTTCAGAGAATCGACTGTCTTTCTGTAAGTCCTAGACCCGGTTTCTTTGGACCGCCTCATATTTCATTCGAACATTTTACTGCGCAATTTCTGTGCAAAACTTTTATTTCATCGTATTGAGTTTTACACAATTCATCACAACTGCCAGTAGATTAGAGCAACATCACTTCCTTCTTTGTCAAAAGACCACGCCCTTTTTTGGGGGCAACCAAAAAGAGGTGTGGCCTATAAAACTGCTGGTGAAAACTTGATTTTTGTAAAAGACATTTTTAGAAAAAAAACCGTCTTTTTGTTTGTTTGCTTCTTTAAAAAAAGAGCAACAAGAAAAGAAGAAATTAAATAACCAGTGGCAGCTAAAAGTTAGAAAGACCAGAAATTTACCAAAATGCTAGTTTGCTACACGAAGCAAAACAGTAGCTACAAGGTTAAAGTAGAAAAAGGCTTGACAAAAGCAAAATGTGTCAAAACAATTGTTAAAACCTATCTGTTGCCAAATACAGTAGCTAGAGCATAAAAGCTACTAAAGTATTGCTGAAAGCTTAAATTAGCAAGACACAAGTTAACTAAAAGCTAAACGTAGCAAAAGACCTGCTAAAACATTAAAAAGCAAAGCTTAAAACTAAAAGCAGAAGAAACCTTTAAAAAAGCAGCAAAAGTCTAGCTTAAAATATCAAAAAAGCTTGCTAGAAGCTAAAAATAACAAAACGCTAGCTCAAAATATCAAAAGGCTAACTATAAGCTAAAAGCAGCAAATGTCTAGCTGTACATAACAAAACAGTAGCTATAAGGTAAAGTTGACAAAGGCTTGATAAAAGCTAAATGTGTCAAAAGGTTTGGTAACACTATATGTTGCCAAATAGTAGCTAGAGGATAAAAGCTACTAAATCATTGCTAAAAGCTTAGCAAGACAAGTTAAAACCACAAAAGTTTAGCTAAAAGCTAAAAGTAGCAAAAGGCCTGCTAAAAACGTAACAAATTGACGCTTAAAATTAAAGGCAGAAGAAACCAATCAAAAAGCAGCTAAAGTCTAGCTGTACATAGCAAAACAGTAGCTATAAGGTAAAAGTCAACAACGGCTAAATAAAAATGTGTCAAAAGGCTTTTTAAAACTATCTGTTGCCAAATAGTAGCTAGAGGTTAAAAGCTACTAAATTATAGCTAAAAGATTAAATTAGCAAAACACCAGCTAAAAAACCACAAAAGGTTAGCTAAAAGCTAAATATAGCCAAAGGCTAGCTTAAAATGTCAAGAAGCTAGCTAGAAGCCTAATTAGCAAAAGGCTAGCTAGAAGCATAATTAGCAAAAGGCTAGCTAGAAGCATAATTAACAAAAGGCTAGCTAGAAGTACAATTAGCAAACGGCTAGCTTAAAATATCAAAAGGCTAGAAGCATAATTAGCAAAAGGCTAGGTAAAAGCTAAAAGCTGAAAAATGAAATTGTTTTTAACTTACACAGCTTTATAAAAAATTAAAAGTTTAGCTGATGTTTTACATCTCTGGTCTCCTTTTACAGCTGATCTCATACTTTTTACTGATTTATCTTCTGATATGTCTCACAGCAGCAGAACACAGAATGCTCTTTGTGTTTTTAGCTACTTTCAGCTGTTTTTAATTAAATGTATTTTATAAAAACATGAAGATCTGCACACGTCATCCTCACAGCATGCTGTTTTCATCCATCACTGAACGATGAGCCGACTCGTCGCTGAAACACATTTTATCAGAATATTTTCAGACCTCTTTTCTCTTCGTTAACATCTCGTCTCACTGAGGCCCCGCCCCCGTGTCTGCCCACCTGTCTGTCTGCAGACGTCCCAGGCCACCTGTCTGTCCGTCACAGACGAGTTCATCTTCTGTGGCTGCTCCGACGGGACTGTTCGAGCCTTCAGCCCCGTCAACCTGCACTTCCTGTGCACGCTGCCCCGCCCACACTGCCTGGGCGCCGACGTGGCCAGCATGGTGAACGCCAGGTGAGTCCTCACCTGTGGGTTCAGAGCCTGGGGTCATTTAATATACAAAACTGGTTCAAACTTAATAAATTATCACTAAATTAGGATAAAACTAATTATATGATATTTACAAAGAGACAAAGAACTGTTAACATTCCATTTAGAGTTGAAGGTGTGGAGATAGAGTCAGTGAGGTGAAGTTTTTAGGTGTTATTATTGATGATAAACTGCCATGGAAACCTCGTATAAATTATTTAAGAATAAAAATAGCTAAATCTATTGCACTGCTTTACAAAGTAAGGGACTTGTTTAATGATAAAGCTCTGTAAATGTTATATAACACATTAAGTGTTCCACACTTGGTCTGTTGTGTTGAGTTATGGGGTAAAGCATGTAAGACAGTTACACATCCTGTTTTTATTTTGTAGAAAAGAGCTATAAGAGTTATCACTCAAAAACATTACTATTATCCATCTAATATATTATTTTGTTACTTGAAATTATGTAAATGTTATGATTTGGTTGGTTATAACATTTTGTTAGTTATGTATAAGTCTCACCAAAACACATTACCTTTAAACATCCAGAAAAACTTTGCAAAGAGAGAGCTATTATAATAATAATAAATAATAATCCAGATATAAATTG